TTCAATGAATAACATATTATAGTTTTTTCATAACCATATCAATAAACAAACATATGGTTAAATGCAATTAATTAAATCTGAAGTATTTAGTGCACATTCAAGCAACTCTACAATAGTGTTGTTTTTGCCCTTTATTATCTTCTTCTATTTCTCTTTTTTAACTTTAGACCAGGGGTGCTCATCCCCTGGCCTGTGTAACCACTATATCCAGCCTGGAGGGTTCCCCACTGGTCCAAAAACATTAATTGCTGCTCCCCTGCTGCCAATTTTCTGGACCCGTGGGGAGCCCTGCAGGTTGGCTAATGTGGCCTTATGCACTACATCAGCCATGTTGGGCTGAGTGAAGTGGTGCAGGGCCCAATCTGGTAGTGTGGGGTCCAGCAGAGGCAGTACAGGGCCCAATTTAGGTGGCACAGGGCCCAATCCAGCCTGAGAACCAGCTCCAAGCTACTCATCTAGCCTGGGAGACCAAAAGATTCAGTGCTACTGGTTTAAGACTTTGTTCAGCATGTGCTTGACCTTAAATATGGCAATTCAGCTGTTATTCAGTAAAGCAGTTAGCCTGTGCTTGAAGTCAGTGGAATGTATGCCTGCACTTAAATACTTTATGAAATGAGTGTCTTAGGGCATGTCCATGTCATCACGCCAGTACATGGCTTGGGTAGTGTTGTATGGAGACTTGTTGCACCCACTCTGTGCACACCATCTCCTGAGCTGGAACTTAAGTGTGGTACTGGCCAGGTCTCTCAGAAGAAAGTATTGGGTTACTCTCCAAACTGCACTTAAATGGACTTTCCTACTTCACTTCTGGAAAGTTGAATGGGCAGTGTCTACGGCACATCTGAACAGAGCACTAACTATTGCCATATGGGAACAGTGCAAATGGCCCTTTAGGGCGCCTATACACGAGTGCAGAGGCTGCTCTGATGTGCTGGAATTCCTGCATGTCGGAGCAGACTCAATTAATTGCTCCTGATGGAGCATGGCAACTGCCACGTTCCAGCAGCCTCCTGTATCTCGTATCAGCGTCTCTGCGCTTAAAAATGGTGGCAGGGGTGCTTGAATTAAAGCTCGTTTGATGAGTTTTAGTTCAAGTGCCCCTGCTGCCATTTTTAAATGTGGGGATATTGATGCAGGAGATGCAGCAGTGCTTTAATTAGCATGGCTCTCACCCCCACCCCTCCCTGGAGCACATGTAAAAGTGCCCTTAGAGCCTACAAGGAGGGATCATATAAAACTGTTTGTCTTGTATCAAATGTGGTATATGTTGCATGTGCAGAACATCAGCTTGTGTGGATTCATAGATAAATGTATAAATGTGTGCACATCTTCTGTTTGTACAAACCTATAGCTATTCTGCATCCACAATTTGCTCAAAAGTGCCAACACACTCTAAAATGTATTGGCATCAGCTGCTGTTTCCCAAAGCACCATGAATATCTGTAAAGATTACAGTGATAAAGGAAATTTTTTTATTACCAGAATAAACTGATTAGCGCTACTAAATCAGAATTTAAGTATGCATGTAACCTTTCAGAGCATAGTATAAATGACAAATATTCAGATGGGAAATATCATCCCTGTTAGAAACTGTAAATAGATGCTGTATGACTCAAATTAATGAAGAGCTTTAAACAATTAATCAAGATGTGTTGTACCTGTGAAATGAAACTGAAATGATATACTAGTCTCATGTTGTGAAGTAAAAAAAAAAAAAAAAGATCTATTTTAATTACCACTTTCATAGATCCTGGCTTTCAATAAATGTAAATAGTTAATAACTTCAAACTCTTGGCAGCTTCAAAACAAAGTTTGTCTCTATATCATTTAATTACTTTTCCATTCTACTTACATTATGAAACTACAACTGCTTGCAGAGTGGTTGCTAGCCATAAGCAACTGCTACACAAAGATGCAAGGGTATTTCTAAACTTCTATTACATATAAAAACATTGTTAGCCTAATCTTTCATACCACAAGAGAAAATATCTCTTGATCATGATTTCATCTGAATGTTGTACATAATCTAATACTTAAACATCAAAATGACATAACAAAACCGTTATTTCAAAATAGAAATATTACTAAAATAACATTTTGTATGATGAAACTTGCTTAAGCTGGCCAGCTGACTGAGTAGGAAGATGTTTATTATATATTGGATAATAAATTAATCAGCTAAATGCACAGTTAAAACCATATGCACTACAGTCAGTTGCCAGATATTAATTAGCTTCATCATACCCTTTGAATAAAGTTTGCATTTGAAGTTTTAACATTTTTAAAACTACTCAAACTACATTCAAACTACTGCAGAGCTCATGACATTTTTCTTTCTACAACAGCTAAGAAATCTGTTCCCATTCAAAATGATATACACTTATTCTTTGTTCCATTATGAAATATTAATGACAGTTTATATCCCTTATTAAAAAAGATTACCATTGAAAAAAGTACTGAATCAAAGTTTGGGCCAGTAAGGCAGAATGATGTGCAAAGAAGTTATAATAATGACCTGCAGGAGATCATGAATAACCAAGTATAATATATGTAAACAATTTCCTTAGAGTAAAATCAGAAAAGATAGACCAGCTAAGTGTCTCTTTGTAGGCCATTCCTGTTTAACCCCACAGCTGACCAAGGAGAAGACGGAGATGTAATACTTGAGACGGAAGCAAAGCGTTCTTCACATGAATTATAAGCAATGAGAGAAATATGCCCTGGACAGAAATAAGTGGGGACAAATTGTGAAAGCAGCCAAGGAATGTTTGGGTGAGTGGAATCAGGGACCGGCAGTTGTCATATTCCTTTGCATGGCACTGTGCAAGTCAGCAGAAAGCAAGCATCCCCCAAGAGCCTAAGGACTAAATCAGATATAGTGAAAAAGCTTTGTGAGTAGTAAGAAAGGATCAGGGTGGACTGTTGCAGGGTAGCTGAGTAAGCCAGGACTTTTCCCTTGTGTCTGCTGTCTTGTGCTTCCTTAGAAAATAAGCTTTCATTAAAAAATGTATTCCCAAGCTTTATATGATTTCAAACCTTCTAAATGATATTCAGACAGTGAACTAAATGTTGCCTATACAGCACTATCTGCCTGAGTCTGCAGACAACCTCAAACAATAAGAGAAACGTAAAGTGATTTCATTCATATCAAGCCTATTTGTCTCTGATGATTTAACCATGCTATTAACCTGGTTTTATTTTAGATTTATAATTAGGCAAAGTTAGGGTTGTGAACACATGGACAAGGAAATGAGTTTCCCTTCAAGAAAGGGAAAAGGGAGGACCCGAGCAACTATAGGCCCGTCAGTCTTACCTCAATCCTGGGGAAACTCTTTGAGAAGATCATCAAGGAGCATATTTGTGATGGGCCGGCATCAGAAATGATGCTCAGGGGCAATCAGCATGGATTTATTAGGGGGAGATCATGTCAGACCAACCTGATTGCCTTTTATGATCAGGTCACAAAGGCCATGGACGCAGGTGTCGCGGTGGATGTAGTCTTTCTGGACTTCAGCAAGGCCTTTGACACCGTCTCTCACCCCATCCTAATTAAGAAACTAGGCGACTGTGGCATAGATGCCTACACAGTCAGATGGATTGCAGATTGGCTGAAGGGTCGCACTCAGAGGGTGGTGGTGGATGGATCATACTCGACTTGGGGGGAGGTGGGTAGTGGAGTCCCCCAGGGCTCAGTCCTGGGGCCTGCGCTGTTCAATTTCTTCATCAGCGATCTTGATGTTGGGGTGGAAAGCAACCTGTTTAAATTCGCTGATGACACCAAAATTTGGGGGGAGGTGAGCACGCTAGCAGGGAGAGAGAGATTGCAGAAGGATCTGGATAGGTTACAGGGGTGGGCAAACAGGAACAGGATGTGTTTCAATACAGACAAGTGCAGGGTGCTGCACTTGGGTAGTAGGAACCAGCAGCACACTTATACGATGGGGAACTCCCTACTTGAGAGCACGGAGGCGGAAAGGAATCTTGGTGTCATTATTGACTCCAAGATGAACATGGGCCGACAATGCGAGGTCATGGTTGGCAGGGCTAACCGGACCTTGTCGTGCATCCACAGGTGCATCTCGAGTAGAGCCAGGGAGGTGATCCTCCCCCTCTATGCGACGCTGGTCAGGCCGCAGCTGGAGTATTGTGTCCAGTTCTGTGCGCCCCATTTCAGGAGGGATGTGGACAACATGGAGAGGGTCCAGAGGAGGGCCACCCGCATGATCCGGGGACAACAGGGCAGACCCTACAGTGAGAGACTGCGGGACCTGAACCTATTCAGCCTCCACAAGAGAAGGCTGAGGGGGGACCTGGTGACCGTCTATAAACTCACTAGGGGGAACCAGAAGGGTTTGGGGGAGACGCTGTTTCCCCTAGCCCCCGCTGGCATAACAAGGAGTAATGGGCACAAGTTGATGGAGAGGAGGTACAGATTGGACATCCGAAAAAACTACTTCACAGTTAGGGCGGCTATTTGGGTTGTTCTCCCGCCCTGGCGGGGGGGCGGGCTAGAAGATCTATTAGGTCCCTTCCGACCCTAAAACTATGAAACTATGATAAAATGAAGGAAACAGAAAAGGATAAGGTGAAAGAAGTGACCAAATCAGAAGGATGGACATAGAGTAACTGCAAGGTATAAGCCAAAGCAGAGCTGTGCAGGTCTTTGAAAGTGAAGCAGAATCATGGATAATGCACCAGGAAAGAAAGGTATTTGGCTGCCAAATTTTAGATTGACTGGAAAAGAAAAATATGAGAAGGAAGGCTGGAAAAGAGACTAAAGTAGTTGACATTTTGGAAGTGGAGGATATTAAAGACAACACAAAGGAATCTTAAGAGTTATTAATGGCCTAGAAAAAAATGATAATACTGACATTCAGATTGAGTGATGGAAGGAAATAAGATGGGTTAAAAGGAAAATAAGTAGCTCAATTTTTGACACGGTTAATTTGAACAAACAGAGGTACTTCCAAGAGGACATCCCTATAAAAGTCTTGATTTACCTGAATCCCGATATCAGTGATCTTCTTACATTCTGATACAGAAAGTTCCTTCATTCTTCCACTGTTGCCAAGGGCTCCCAAGCCCTAAAAATATTCCATATAAATTTCAGTTTAAATTCATACACACATTTCTATAATACTGTAGTCTTTAAAGCTATGACAGTGATGATGATAACACACTTGGACTAAATGAATACACTTAGACTAGAATTAGAAGTGATTCAGCATATGCTTCCACCTAGGCAGCATCCCACCTAACCCTTGTGCACCTGGCCAAGGAAGTCAATTCAAATTGAACTTGTTAGGAATTTAGGCTCACCATAGGGTCAATGGAGATACTAACACAAGTCAGGTCTGCGATTCATATTTACATGCCAGGTCGCTCTTTATAGACATTGGGGGGAGAGTGCATCTCCCAAGGGAGATCCACAGAGCTCACTGAGCAGGTAGCTCATAACAGGCAAGCAGGAAATGAGAGGGGTGCCAAGAATGGCATCCTTGAATCTCAAACACAAGAGACCCCCAAACATACTGGAGCTACATGAAGCAGTGCCCTCTGTCTGAAGAAGTTCCATTCAGGGGTCCTATGTAAACGCACGTTTGCTCTATCTACTGAAATTCTACTCAGGCCGTGTGTAGATGAAACAAGGGGCATGTGTGCATGACACTTTAAAGCGGGTTAAATGCTTTTGTTCCACTTTAATGGTGTTGGTGTTTGCACGCGTTGGCAGCATATTGCACAGTAATTCCAGCCACTGTAGCAAATTCAGCGGCACAATGTGCCTTAAATGACTTAGGGCGCAGCAAACTAAAACTCCTCTGAGGAGTTTTAGTTTGCTGCCCTATAGCCATGGAGCAAAGCACCAGGCTCCATGCAGCTCAGGGGCTCTGCAGGAAGCCCATGCAGGCAGCCTGGCAGCAGCCTGGGAAGGCAGGCTCCACCCAAAATAAAAAAAAAAGGTGGTGAGCCTGCTTTTTCACATTTTTTTCCCCTGGAGCCTGCCTCCCTGCCTGAGCTGTGCAGGGGCCCAGTGCTTCCCTCCGCAGCTGCAGCACCCCCCGGGACGGCCTGAGCTGGGTGCCTGTAGGCAGGTGCTGCCTGGGGGGGGCCGCCGCTGCCGCAGAGGGAAGCACCAGCCCTCCTCACCCCCCCAACCCAGGGACCGCTCCACCTGCTGGCAGCTTGCCCTCCCCTCCCCACCACCAGAGAGGCAGGGAAAAGCATGGGTGTGTGCACAACATGGGGGTTTACTTGGCCCTAAATTGAAGCAGTGTTTTTAAAAACCCACCACTTCAATTTAAGACCCCTTTTTTGTCTACATACACCCTCAGGCTCCAACCAGCAGCTAAGACCTGGAATTCACATCACCTCCCACTCCTGTCCCTTCCTCCAAACAAATCCTCCTTCCCTCACCTTGCCCTCAGCATATTGCCTCTCCAGCAAAAGAATGAAGCAACGTGACACAGATCAGTCTCTGTATGCTGTGGTCACCACAGACACAAAGATAATAGGCAAATGACACTGAGCAGCCGGCGGAGGGGGGGAAAAGCTCTACCCATCACTGTGTCTGCTAGTTACACAGACCACAGCTCACTCCTGCAAGATACTCATTCAGAAACAGAGGGCTCTGGGGTCAGAACTTCCTTGCAGAGACTTATGTGGTTTGCATATGGCAACTGTGCCATTTTGGGGTGGGCATATGCTGCTTGAAGAGAGGTGGAGGTCAGAGGAAGATTACCAAGTAGCCTGCCATTAGAAAACTTGACATAGCAGAACTGGCTGCAAAGACCAGACTGGGAGCAGAAGTAGGCACATGAACGACTGGTGCCTCCCAAGACTGCGGGGGGCACCATTTGTAGGCAGCAGTGGGGACCACCTGCAAACACTGGCATTGCCAGTGGTGGGGGGGAGCGAGTGGGGACAATGGTCACGGCAGCGGCAAGGGTGGTGGGGGGACAGGTGGCAAGCAGCAACCGTCTGCGGAAGCCGGCAGCAGCTTCAGTGGTGGCCAGTCTCAGGGGGGGGATGGGCTCCCCCCCCCCCCCCGCCAGTCTCAGGGGAGGCATGTGCTCCCCCCCTCCCCCCCCAACCGTGCCCTCCTTAAGCATTGCCTATGAATAGGCACAATGGCACAATCCTGTGTTGTGACAACATATGTAATTTCTCTGTATGCATTGTACACACTATAATGTTCACTGTTGGCTAATTACCTTAACTTCTGGGCTTCTTTATATCCACTAAGCCAACGAACCTCCATGAACAGTACCACATGATGGAATTCACAGAATATTAGGGTTGGAAGGGACCTCAGGAGGTCATTTAGTCCAACCCCTTGCTCAAAGCAAGACCATCTCCAACTAGATTATCCCAGCTAAGGATTCTCATATAATTTTCCACAGCAGTGGCTCCCAACCTTTTTTGTACCAGGACCCATTCATAAGCACCGATGGCCAGTCCCAACCCAGTAAATAGTTTAAGTAAAAAATGGCCCCCTGGCCCTGCTGGTGCCTCTCACTTCTAACTTGCTGCCCCCAGCCCTTCAGTGTGTGGGGAAGGGGGAGCCCCAAGCAGCCCCTAGCAGGCTGGAACTGCCAGCCTGCAAGGGAAAACCCATGTTTTTTCTCCTTTGAAGGAGAATCCATTTTTAAAGTTTGTTCACAACCCTTTCATATATTCTTGCGACCCAGTTTTGGATCATGACCCGCAGATTGAGAAACACTGCTCCACAGGATAAATCTCCATAAGGATGTGAGCACCATGCATGCTCCTTAATCACTGAGATTTGTTCTTCTTGGTCAGAAGTTGTTGAAGCACAAAAGCTTTGTTGCAAACTGGGCATGGACCTTGTTCTCTGACCTCCCTTTTCCCTTTTTACCCACGATTTCCCTCCCCAATCCCTAGTCCTGTGCCACCCCACCCACACACACTCCAAAAAGCCTCTTCAAGGGCTATCTAGTTCCCTCCCCACTCTAACCCCTGTGTCCTAAGCCTGACCCTCCAACTCTGTAAAGTCCCCTCTTAAATCCTGGTCCACTAATCTACTCCCAATTGCTATGCAGCTAATCTATCCATCCTACAGTTTCTAATCTTCCTAAAACACCCCTCTACCTGCAGTCGCCTCTTTCTCTGTGTCTTACACATAGTACACTTGACATTTGCCTTACACTAGGCAGATGCTCCATGTGCCTTTTATGGTGGTTGTTTGCATCCCTTGCTATCTGTTGGCAGCTTGGGTGAACTGCAGAGGCTGCTGAGAAGCATTAGGTATGCTTTCTTGCCAAATGGCTGGGGCCTGTCTAGACACTTGGGTAGAGTTTGGGTGCCTCCATGCTCAAACTTTGAATAATCAGGAAACTGGGGCAGGAGTGAGACTTGAAAGTGCCTACACTACAGTTCAGTTCTGAGTGGGCACACAAGGCTGAGTCTAACTGCTTACGGACATGTGCACTCCAAAATGGAGGTGCATAATATGTTTAGGCATCTAACAAGTTTTGGAGCTGTTGGCACATATAACTCTTTGCTACTTAGGCAGCTAATGTACCCATATACCCTTTATGCATCTGCTGAACTAATCTGAATCCTGGCCTTACTGCAAATGATATCTCCCATCTGAGGACTGCAACTCCTTGTGAAGTCATTAAATAATTTACTTAAATAAGACCCTATGAGATATTACCTAAATTTTACAAAAGAAAATGTTATATAGAGGATTTAGCTAATTTAGTTGCCCGAAGTCACACAGAAAATTTATAACAGAATGAAAACATAGCCCAAGTCTCTCTCCTTTGGTCTTTCCTCTCCTCAAGAAAGTGATTGCTTTACATAGCCATCCTCAGACATGCATAAAGTAAGTATTACATTGCTGGTATTCTTGTCTTCAACATGGCTCAAACTAATTTTCATTATACATCAACTTTTTACATTAAAATTTCCAAGTGTTCATTATGGAGCTTTCTTCGTGTGATCTATATTTCTTATCTCCACCACCCACATTTGGAAAGTAAAAAATATGTACTTTTTGTACAGATCTCTTCACTCCAGCCAAATTATATAAAAACTGCTGTGAGGTCTTTGTAGAAATAATTTGTTTAACAAAAGTAAACAATGAACATATTCATATAAGAGAGAAAAGAAAGTGGAAGAAGCAGAGCCATATGAAATATATTCTCTGCCAGCAAGCAATCAGCATTTCCATCCAGTAGAATGTTCTACAGACTTCCTTCAAAAATCCATATTCAAATTAAAAAAGCAACTTACAAACAAACCTGCATTTAGGTTATTGTTTTAATTAGGCCAAAAATTAAGAGCCAAACAGCTGCTGTTAGGCACAAGCTCATGCTGGAAGTGGTGCCGAGTCACACCATCCCAGCAGGAGCGGGGGATTATGCTAGCTGGAAACAGCCTGTGTTAAAGATAGTGACGAGACTGCAACTTTGGCAATTCCTTTGGTTACAAGCACAAGAGGCCTGGAAGAGTCCTTGTGCTTTCTATTGTTTTTATTGTGGATAACTGGACCAGCCACAGCCTGGCTCTAACTTTCAAGCCCTCAAAAGAATTAGATTTTTGTTTGTTTTTTTAATTTACACTTGGCCAATACCAGCATCTACACATCACTAAAACCTAACCAAACTACAAAGTAAGCCTCCTGAAAACAAATTGGTCATCTTCTTCTATAGGAATGCTGTGTTAACAGTTTGGTTGGCAAAGTATCCATTGTCTTTCACAACAGTCATGCTGAACAAATGGGAAACATGAGACAGAAATAACTGTGTAAATATGCTCTGGACGCCAGATGTAGACAGTATAATGATAATGTTAGGAGAAAGAGGATAACATGTATATGTCAGTTCTGGAAATATAGGCAGCCGAATATAAATAACAATAAAAAAAGATATCAAATCCTAAATCCCAATTTCTTCTCGAAAATATAAAATGGAATTTTCTCCAGTGGATATACTTATATTGGCATCTCTTACAAGAAACGTTCAAGAGATTCAGGGTTTTCCATTTTTGTTTAGTTCAGACAAGCAGATAAACATATGTAGGTCCCAAGTGAGATCTGTGCTTAGAATTAAGGCATGTT